TGTGTATCTGTATATGTGCCAGTGTGTGTGTATATGTGTAGCTGCATGTGGGTCCGTGTATACATCTATATGTTATTGTGTGTATCTGCATGTATGTCAGCGTGTTTGTTTGTGTGTTAGTGTTTCTGTTTATCTGCATGTTTGTTAGTGAATATCTGTGCATCAGTGTATGTAGGTGTGTCAGTGTGTATCTGTGTATCTGCATGTGTGTATAAGTATGCACTTATGTGTCTGTGTATCTGTCTATGTATGTCTATACCTGTGTATGTGTGCATCTCTATGTATGTCAGTGTTTGCATCTGTATGTGTGTTAGTGTGTGTATTTTGTCTCAGTAAGAAATGAGAGGGCTAAGTGTGTTTTTTTTATCGTTGTGTGGGCGTTGATGGCGTGATTGCATGCTAGGAAGGGGAAGGGCTAGGTCAAGGGCTAGGTCAAGGCCATTCAAACACCTTCCCAGGGTCCAATCAGTATTAAAGACGGCCCTGATCAGAAGTGAGTGGAGCGTCATTAAAGCTACGTTCCATGATTGGCCAGTATGCATCACCAGCCTTTATTTCACACAAACTTATAAGATCCCGCCAGGCTGCGGAATATGTTTTCCGAATTTGGGCCATCCTGCGGAAAAAGGGCATAGGGTGCTTTTCAGGATCAGGGAGTGAGGTCACAAGGGTAGCAGCTTGGGAGGGATTGATGGTAACATACATGGGAGGTGCCCCATCTGCTCCATGGTTAACCTGGGTATAACCCTGGGGGATAGAGGGCCCGTTGGGGGAGTCTGTTCCCCTCCGGCCGAGGTGAATCCTGTTCTACCACAAGAATCTCCTCGGGTGCTACTGGGCCACGGTGAGGAGTAGTCTCGGGAGTAGCTGTGGCGGGGATGACAGGGAGACCGGTGATGGGAGAGGTAGTGGGGTGGAAGCCTGAGGCCTGGGGGGAAGCACCCACTGCATAGGGTTGATCCGATGTCACAGACACTTCGGATCCAACCACCATGATTGGATAACTAGAGCTGATGGGAGGGGCATGAGGAACCAATGCCATGGATGGGGTTGAGGTGGGGGCCGGCTGAGACGGACATGAGAGGTGGGTGTTCAGGACATGAGAGAGAGCGGAGATTGGATCGGAAGGCTCGGGGATGGTAACGGGGGGCGAAGGAGGGGTTGGAGGATCAGGAGGAGGAGGTGGAGGGGGAGGAGGTAAATCAGTGGGAGGCGGTGTAGGAATCGCGGAATTAACCAGGGAGGTAACAGCAGAGAAGAGGGCGGATATCGAGCTAGACAGGTCATTGGCCATGGTTGGATCAGGGGTCACCGGGGGAGGGGTCGGAGAGATGGGAACAGGGGGCTGGGTCAGGGCGGTGAGGGCAGAGATCAGGGACGGCAAATCAGCCGGGAGGGGAGGAGACAACAAGGTAGAGGGGGCCGGGACATCGGGAGGAGGTAACACTGGAGAAGGGGAACGGGGGCTGGCCAGGGGCTGTGAGGGCCGAGGATCAGGGACCTGCAAATCAGCTGAGGGGAGGGGAGACAACGAGGCAGAGGGGACCGACATCGGGAGGGCGGTAACACCTGGAGAAGGTGGAACGGGTGCTGGGTCAGGCGGTGAAGGCAGAGATCAGGGACGGCAGCCGGAGGGGAGGAGACAACGAGGTAGAGGGGGCCGGGACATCGGGAGGAGGTAACACTGGAGAAGGGGTGGGAACGGGGGGCTGGGTCAGGGCGGTGAGGGCAGAGATCAGGGACGGCAAATCAGCCGGGAGGGGAGGAGACAACGAGGTAGAGGGGGCCGGGACATCGGGAGGAGGTAACACTGGAGAAGGGGTGGGAACGGGGGGCTGGGTCAGGGCTGTGAGGGCAGAGATCAGGGACGGCAAATCAGCAGGGAGGGGAGGAGACAACGAGGTAGAGGGGGCCGGGACATTGGGAGGAGATAACACTGGAGAAGGGGTGGAACGGGGTTGGCCAGGGCGGTGAGGCAGAGATCAGGACGCACCGCCGGAGGGGAGTGGAGACAACGAGGTAGAGGGGGCCGGGACATCGGGAGGAGGTAACACTGGAGAAGGGGTGGGAACAGGGGGCTGGGTCAGGGCGGTGAGGGCATAGATCA